AAAACGAGAAAGAAAGAAAGAAATAGAGAGAGAGTAGTGACAGTGGTCTTTTGATTTCTCTTTATGCAAAAAGGAAAAAAAAAAAAAAAAAGAAAAAAAAAGAGAGAGAGAGCTCATATAATATCATTTAGGCGGAAAATTTAGCAAAGAAATTGGATATACAGTATATTGAATGTAGTGCCAAGTTGAATCAGAATGTAACCAAGGTTATTCACACAGCCGCTAATTTAACAGTGACCCATCGTAAAGGAGGACTAAAGACAAAGATTTGTAAAATATTATAACTTTTTATATACATATTTATACCAATAACATGAATTTAAATCATTTGTTGTTTCTGTTTTTTCATTATTATTTAATACAAAATATAGTAATTGCGATGAATAATGAATTCATATCAGATGACGTTGTAAATACTTTTTGAGAGAGATACAGCGAAGATGTATGATATTTTATACTATTTTTTTATTATAAATATATATAATCTGGATAAACTTTGACAACAGAGAAAGAGAGAGAGAAAAAGGAGGGAAATACACAAATAATGATAATAAAAACAATACTATGACTTTAAGCTGCAACAGCCACTGCACTACTATTTTTGGCTTGTGAGACCTTTAATGGTTCAGGCTTCTTTTCTTGTTCCTTTTGCCATTCAAAGTCTTCGGTAGCAACGTCAATCAACATTTCTGCAATAGCCAAGGAAGCAGTACAAGCAGGTGTAGGAGCATTACGAACACAGAGAATCTTTCCGTCCATGACTTTACGTTCAAGAATATAATCGTTGGCTGCGACACCTCCTTCTTCAAATACCTGTGACATGACGCCAGCAAAACTCTCTTCAACCATATCTTCAGTTAAACCGGGAACATAGGCCTGTGCTGCACGAAGGAAGGCACGCTTGTTCATGTCTTTGTAGAGTTCTCCAATAGAAAGTGAAGGATTCTTGAGGGCAAACATCCAAAGGTTCAAGTTGGTTAAGGATCCAAAGACATCTTCCCACTTGAAATTTGAGAATTGGTAGCCTTCACGAGAAAAGGTAAGGCAGGCACCAGGACCAATAATCATCTGGATACCACGGCGTGCGTTCACAGTAGGTGTGAAGTGAACACCGACAGGAATACCACCACCGCTAGGAACAGGATAGACATTCATACGACAGATACCACGGTACTCTGGTTTGAGTTGATAGTATGTACCTCTGAAAGTAACAACCTTGGCTCGTTTGGGGTCACCGCCAGCAAGGGCGGCAACACGATCCGAATAGAATCCTGCACAGGTAATCACGTTCTTGGCAGTCACCTTTAAAACAGGGCCCTTTTGATTAGGCTCACCTCCCCAAATCTGTTGAATAGAATTAATAACTATATATCATTGTTATATCTTACTACATACCTCAACTCGTCCATCTGATCTCGATTCAAATTTCTTGGCTTCAAACGCTAATTTAATTTCTGCACGACTACAAAAATGTTAATTTTTTTTTAAAGTCGCACTTTGTTTAATCTTACCCAGTTTGTACGATTTCATTAGCAATGCATTGGGCCACAAGACCAAAGTCAGTGATACCCGTATTAGGGGAGTACAAGGCAGAATAGGCAACCACGTTCGGTTCAAGTTGTTTGATCTGCAAGATACGTAACCATTAGTGACTCCTTCCTTATCTGTAATTTTTTTTTTAATTTACCTCCTCACTGTTGAGGACCTGAAGATCCTTGACGCCATTTAGGGTAGCAGTTTCCATCAATCGTTCAATCTGTTTATGTTCTTTTTCGTCCACGGCAACAATTAGTTTACCGCAGCGTTCGACAGGCAACTGATTTTGCTTGCAATACTCGTACATAAGATCAGCACCTCGTACACAGGTCTTTGCCATACGTGATCCAGGTTTATAATAGATACCAGCATGGATTACACCGCTATTGTGTCCAGTTTGATGTGCAGCCACTTCACGTTCCTTTTCCAAGACGGCGACAGTCATATTTGGGAAGCGTTTGAGTAGTTCTCTTGCAGTAGCCAAACCAATGATACCACCACCAACTATTGTTAGTTTATTATTAATAAAAGAAAAAAAGGAGACGGATAGTAATTACCAATGACCACGTCAAAGTCGGTCTTGCCATTATTTTGAGCCAGAGAGGTTCTGAATCTTTGTTCAGCAGCCATGCCACGTAGTTTAGCTAATCCTGGGTTCTCTGGAGTGTTCTCGCCAGGTAAACTCTTCCAAAACTTGAGCTGATTAGATTCAGCGTGTGCCTTTCGAGTCTGTAAGAGGATAACACCAGTGGAGGTGGCAACAGCACCAGCAACCATAAGATAACGACGTTGAAATAATCGAGAGGATCTAGCAAACATGAGGATTGAATAAAAAAGAAAGAAAGAAAGAAAGAGAGAGAGAGAAAGACAAAGGATGAAAAAGTAAAGGGTATTTATATACACAATCCTCCTGTAAGGAAATTTCTAATAGATCTATGTGTCCTCCCTTTAATGTCAATAATATACTATTTTGCCACATTATGCATTAATGAGGAGAAAACTAAAGATAGGAAATGTCACCTCCTATTGCTCCGACATGTGCGTATGTACGTGTGTTGTGTTTATGTTTATATTTATGCAAGTAACACCTTTTCTTATGTTTCTGAAAATTCCTTGCACACTCTTTTAGACACAATGTAACATTTATGTAATGCAGATCTACATGTTTATTTTTTACGTAAACAGTCATTTAAGCCTTTTTTATTTCTTGCAATTTCAATAGCATAAAACTAAATACACATCTGGTTAGTAAATGTTCCCCCCTTATTATTGTTATCACACATAAAAACATACCTGCATACGCACGCCTAAATTCATATATTAATAACAATCATTTAAAGAAATTATATCACTTACCAAACATGGTATTTTGCTCTGTATAATCTTCTCTGCAATCAATACGAATCAATGATCCAAAGTTGAATTCCTTGACTCTCTTTTCATATTTATTCATAAAGTTTCTCCACTTTTCTTTGGCTGCAGGTGTCTTGAAATGCTCTTCGTCTAAATGAACAAGATTGATCTCTGGAAAGGTGGTTTCAAAATCTTGAAGGATCTCATCGTCAATACTAGAGCATGATATGAGTACACGTTTTATATAATACTTGTAGATTTTACCTTGTTAAACGAAGCTGACGAGGATCAACAGTAGAGATCAACTTGAAATAAGTCTCGGCATGGTGCATGGCTTTTACAGCCCATTGCTTTTCTGTTTATACTTTTAATAAAGAGTGTAAACAATAAATATTTTGCATAATTACCAATATCTTCAAGTTGTTCAAGTTCGTCAGCAGAAGGAAGACGCATATTGTATGAATTAGATAGAAAGAGAGAAAAAAAAATTTTGTTACTTTCTGTCTTCTACTGCTAGTGTTCACATGACTAACTCCGTTTGAAAACAACAACAAAAAAAAAGAGGGAAACCTAATGTTTCATTATACAACTTTCTCCTTGAAATGTCGACAACAGACAGTCAATTAGAACAAAGTACAACTAATAGTCATTATGACTCAAATGAGGAAGAATATGATGACGAAGAATATGACGACGACGAAGAAGAAGAGATGGAGGACGAACCAAAGCTGAGATATCGTCGTGTGGGTGCAAGCGTCAAGGAGATTTTCGAAAAGGATACAGCTTCGACTATACGAGTATCTGATAAATTTGTGGTAGGTAAGAGAATAAGAAGACAGTGAAAACAAACAGGTCTTATCTTTATTGCTATAGGCACTCGGTACACATTGGGGTGCAGTTCATATTCTTGATTTCGAAGGCAATGTCATCAAGAGTTTCAAGAAACATTCTGCCACAGTCAACGCCATCTCTATTGATAGATACGACGAGTACCTTGCAAGTGCATCTGATGACGGTAACTTTAACACGCAAAAAAAAAAAAGGAGTTGTCACTCACACATCATATTAGGCAAAGTATATATTTATGCACTTTATACACCCGAGATTCAAGAGTTTAATTATAAAAGACCCATCAAATCAGTCGCTCTCGATCCAGACTATGCACGTAAATCAACACGCCAATTCGTATCTGGAGGCATGGCAGAACAGCTAGTGATGAGCGAAAAGGGATGGTTTGGGCACAAGGACATTGTTCTTCATGCAAATGAAGGTCCGATTTACGCTATTCAGTGGCGCACTCAGTTCATTGCCTGGGCAAATGATACAGGCGTCAAGGTATATGACACGAATTCACATCTACGTATCACCTATATCGATCGACCTGCAGGCAGTCCACGCGCTGATCTGTACAAGTGCCGGTTATGCTGGAAGGATGACACGACGTTACTGATCGGCTGGGCTGATACTGTCAAGGTTGCCGTGATTCGACCCAACGCGCACCAAGTAGCTGGACAGTCAAGTCATTATGTAGAGATCGTCCAAATGTTTCAGACGGATTACATGATCAGCGGTATTGCGCCATTTGACGACATGCTGATGCTGCTGTCGTACCTTATTGATGATGACAAGAGTGACGATGAATATTACCAGCAGAGACGTCCGGCTTCGCGACCCGAATTACACATAATCAATGACCAGAGCGAAGAAGTCTCGACAGATGTACTTGCCCTCCAGGGATACGAGCATTATCAGGCCAACGACTACGTTTTGGATTTCGTATTGGAAGATGACATGTTTTACATCATGGGCCCCAAGGACTTAATCGCCGCTCGAGCTCGAGACGAAGACGATCACATCGAATGGCTATTGGATCATTCTCGCTTCGGTGAGGCCCTCGAGGCAGCCAGGAACATGACAGTGCCTAGCAAACGGTTCAGTGTGGACGAAATTGGACAGACTTATCTCAGCTGGCTAATCAGTGAAAACAAGTATCAGGAGGCAGGACAAGAGTGCAGCTCGATCCTCGGACATGACAAGGGAAAGTGGGAAGATTGGGTCTTCAAGTTTGTCGAGCTGGGTGAACTCAAGGCGATTGCTCCGTATATACCAGTCAAGGATCCTCAGCTGAGCAGCACGGTCTATGAGATCGCACTAGCATGGTTTCTCAAGAGTGATCATGCTGCTTTAAGAATGACGATTCATACATGGCCCAAGACGCTTTATAATATACCAAATGTCATTGTCGCAGTCGAAGACGTATCCAAGAGGGACCCCAAGGACGAGGTCCTTTTGGAGTGTCTTGCAGATCTGTAAGTTAAAAAGATAAAACTGAAAGTTGGGGGCTTAGCTCATTGATAAATATAGATACACATATAACAATCAACCCGATAAAGCCATCGAATATTATCTAAGACTCAGAAGACCAAATGCCTTCCAACTGATCCAAGAATATAACATGTTTGATGCTGTTAAGGATAAGGCTGTCTTGCTCATGGAGTTTGATCAATATTTGCTTGAAAAGGAACCGGGAACACAACCCATCAAGATGCCTGCGGTTCAATTACTCGTAAAGAACACAGATGCTATTCCGGTAAGATTAATGTAATGTGTGAAAACCACATGTGTCCAACATATACCTGTTTTAGCCTGAGAAAGTTGTCAGACAGTTGACAAAGAATCGCCAGTTCTTGCATACTTATTTGGACGCCCTCTTTGATCGTGATCATCACCTAGGTTATGAATTTCATGATATTCAGGTCGAGCTTTATGCAGAATACGATTATCCTAAACTATTAGACTTTCTCCGTGCAAGTCATTACATATCTTTAGAAAAGGTAAAGCTATACCCTTTAGGACTGTTTATTAACTTGTGTAGGCATTCAAAATATGTGAGGAAAGAGATCTCGTACCCGAAATGGTCTTTATCTTGGGTCGCATGGGCGATAACAAGCGAGCATTGATGCTGATTATTAATCGGCTTGATGATGTGCAAAGGGTACAAGAGCACAAATTACATCTAGATGTTGCAATTCATATTTTGTAAATAGGCTATTGACTTTGCAAAAGAGCAAAAAGACGATGACCTATGGGAAGATTTACTTGTTTATTCTATGGATAAGCCCAGTATGTTGTATACACAAAGTTTGCATAATGTTTACTGATGTACGGTAGAATTCATCCGCGGTTTATTGGAAAACGTTGGTACTGACATTGAGCCACTGCGGCTTGTTCAACGTATACCCGACAAGTTAGAAATCCCTGGCCTCAAAGATGCTCTTTTGAAGATTCTACAAGATTACAACCTTCAAATGTCATTACACGAAGGATGTGAAAAGATCTTGGTGAGCGATAGCGTATTTTTAGCAGATAAAATGTACAAGGCGCACAAACGTGGAATTCGATGCAACCGTAAGTGATCTGCAATGAAATGTTTTACAAAATTTTTTATAACACATTGATAGAGGATATGCTTTGTGGTCTGTGCGACGAGCCTGCGTTTGACGAAAATGCAGCTGAAGATGTACCCAGCTCGGTTATCTTCTTTTGCCGTCATGCGTACCACGAGAAATGCCTATTGGCTGCCAAAGACATGACCGCGTTCGACATGGACAACAGTAATCATCCTGGCACACTCACCAGTAAGATCAATCGTGCCGCATTTCTCAAATCTACTCAAAACCTCGGCTGCCCCTTATGCAAAGAACAGACAGCAGGCGGCAACGCGTTTGTTAATCGCATGAAATCCCAACGAAAGGCAATCGCCCGTAGCAATAATAGTCCCCAGATTTCGCCGACCAGAGCAGATAGCATAAGAAGTTTTGGTACAGTTCGTTCGTAATAAAAAAAAGAGTGTTCTTTATTACATGGTTTCCTGATTTTAAAAACAAAAAACAAGAGAGAAACCAAAACAAAGAAAGCAAGCGGGTGGCTTATTTGAGCTTCTTCTTGGGACGAAGTTGGTTGGTGTGTCCACACTTTCTCTTACGGCAGTTGGTGGCACGAGGAGGAAGACGAGCATAACACTTGCGGCAAATCATCTTGTCACAGTTGTACTTGCTGGCCAAAGCCTTCAAAGAGGGTTCGATGATACCACCACGAAGACGGAGAACCAAGTGAAGGGTAGATTCCTTTTGAATGTTGTAATCACTCAAGGTACGACCGTCTTCGAGTTGTTTACCGGCGAAAATGAGACGTTGTTGATCAGGAGGGATACCTTCCTTATCTTGGATCTTTTGCTTGACATTGTCAATGGTGTCAGAGCTGTTTTTTTATTATTTATAAATGATGAGTTGCCTTTTTTATATTCACTCTTCCTATGTCGTCGTATTTACCTCTCAACTTCCAAAGTGATGGTTTTACCGGTAAGAGTCTTTACGAAGATCTGCATGGTGCGATTCTATAGATGATGTCAATAAGTTGTTGGATGGATGGATGGATGCAAGACTTTACCTTTGTAAGATGAACAGAGAAAGGGAAATTGGATCCACTAGCATCATTGACTCCCTTAAGCTCTTCCGCTCGTCCGCCCACCCCCGCAAAGCATACTATGGTTGAGCCCCGTTTAGGAATTTCCAAAAACGGAATATTTTTCTCCGAGTCGGACATCTATCCTACAACGAGTTCTCCTTAAAGAAGTTGTTTGTTGTCAGTTGATACACATAAAGTGGGTTAATTATAAGTTATTTAAAGAGTTAAAAATGTTGTCAATAAAAAGTAGCTTATAAGTGTTCTTTATCTATTTCTAAAGATTCCCCCTTTTTCTTTCAGCAAATGATTCTCAATCTTTTTCTTGGTGCTGTAATAGGTGTAGCTAGTCTTGTAGGAGCTGCCAATGCAGTGATCTCAGGCGCGGATAAAAAACCCGTCGTGATTGGTTACTATCCAAACTGTAAGTTATGCGTGATTAATGTATAAACAATGCAGGCTGAAATTTTTGTTTTATTAATGTGTGCAGGGAGTGATCGGTTTCCAGGTAACTTGTGTTTTCTCGCCCGTGCATATTACAACTAAGCCATATCTTTACAGTAACCAAGATTGATTTTTCTAAGTTTACGCACATTCACTATGCATTTGCTATTATGGCCAATGGACCCGTTCCTGTTTGGGGGAACCCACAAAAGGCTAACGCCCAGTTGACAAAATTGGTAACTATGGCTCATAAACATAAGGTCAAAGTACTTCCCTCGATCGGCGGATGGACCGGAAGTATCACATTTAGGTATAAAAAGAAGAAAGCAAAATATCCTCGCTCATATTGATATACATCTGTTAGCTCTACGGCAAAGAGTCAAAAGTCTAGAAAAGAATTCATAGACTGGAATATAAGCGTGATGAAGAGGTATACTGCCGTCTTTTGTTTATTGTTTACTGACATTCCCTTGCAGGTATAAAACCGACGGAATTGATATTGGTAAATAAAGTAAAGATAGCATTTCATTGCATACTGACACTTTTTACTAGACTGGGAGTACCCAGGTCGTCAAGGTGAAGGATGTAACGAGGTCAATGAAGAACATGATGTCAAAAACTTCCTTACGCTACTCAAGGAGCTTCGTCAAGCTATGGATGGAGAATTTGGTGTGGGCAAAAAGGAGATCTCGGCTGCAGTCTATATTCATCCCTTCAATTCATCTGTACCTGAGATGGCCAAGATACTGGATAGAGCCAATATCATGACGTACGATATAAATGGTCCATGGAGTCTTCGGACAGGCGCTAATGCTCCTCTGTATGCGCCTCGTGGTCAAGACAGTGTGGACTCATCTGTTAATGCCTGGATAGAGGCAGGTATGCCCAGACATAAGATAGCAGTGGGCCTTGCCTTATATGGACGCTCAGCAAGTAAGGCTTACTACATACATATCAAAACAAGCATTCTGATCTATCCATATAGTTGCCAAAGTGAACATGCTGAGAACAAAAAAGATCAACCAGAACCAAGTCCAAGGCCAAATATCTCAAGGCGATAAAACTGACGTGTTCTTCCAGAGCTCTTTTTGCCCCTTAATCCCTGGAGGACTATCGGGTACCTGGAGATTTCATAGCCTGCTGTCTCAACATGTACTCAAGTCACCTCTGGAAGCAAATAAGCCATGGGCGCGCGTATGGGATGCTGTTACATCAACTCCATGGCTATTTAACTCAAAGACAAAGATATTCATTTCTTATGATGATCCACGATCACTTGCTTTAAAAACATGTTATGCTCTTCAAAAAAACTTGGCTGGTGTTATGATATGGTCTATCGATCAAGATAGCAAAGGGAATGACTTGCTGAATGCTATTCACAACAGTATCAAGACTACCAATGCATCATGCTAAATGCACACACACACCATTGTTGTACCAAAAAAGAAAAGAAAAGCGTGTGCCTGTGTGCATTGTTGTCCTTTAATAAAATGAACTTTTCTTTTTCTTTTTCTTTTTTCTTTTTTCTTCTTGTCCATGTATGGTTAGTCAACATAATACAAGCACAGTTACCTTGACAACAGATATTCCTTCTACTCGAGTATCAAGTACTATCATGACAGGTATTTATAATATATTTCCCCCTTATAAAAAGTAATGACGCAATTTTTATTTCTCTTTCTTTCCTTCTTTCTAATTTACATAATTCAATCTGACCTATTTTAAAGAAAACTGTGCAATAGAGAATAATAACAACAATAGCCACCATAAGAATGCGATGACAAAGACAGAACATGAAGTCATATCCATACAGAATAGAGTTCCGCTCAAGTCCATTCGCATCGAACGAGATTACTCATTAGGAGACGGAATCACACGTTTTTATACAAACTATCCTGAGGATCTACAAGGACGAGTAAGGGAAACAAAGAAAAAAAGAGAAGTAGTTTTAATTTATATACTATAGATTACTCCAGAGCAGTTCAAACATACAATAGAAGAAGTGAATCGAATTATGGATTATGCAGATAGACTATCATGGAAAGTCATACTTGAAAACATTATGGAAACACTCACTATTTATCTATGGCCAGTCTTGTTTTCAACTCATTATCAAAGAGTAAAAAAAAAAGAAAGAGGAGTGTACCTTTACTGATATCCATCATAGGCCATTGATCGACTACATACATTCATTGACTCTGAAAACCAAAATGTATACCATCCACATAATTTATCCATTTCAGATCCAGTCAAATCTGCTTTTCTTTTCGCAAGTGTCAAATATATATAGCAAATATACATTTCTAACTCTTGCTTTAGATTGAAATTAATTTTTATGAATGAGAGAGATTTGTACGACTTCTCACGTGATACGATGACATGTTTCAAGTTTATTTTTTTCATTTCCTTTTTTTTTTCTTCTTTTTTTTTTTTCTTAATTATTAAAACACGTAAATTTATAAACTTCTTTTATATATATAAATATAAAGCCAACATTTTATAAAGTTAGAAGAAAATGTCTGAATATTGGTAAGAAAGAAAAAAAGGAGAATATATTGGGTCGAGATGTTAATGATTACTTCAAGTCCCGTTTATGCACCTTTCTTTGGCACCATGGGCTGTGCTGCTGCCATTGTCTTTAGCTGTAAGAGACCAAGAGACATTATATACACTTTATAACACGAATTTAGGTTTAGGAGCTGCTTATGGAACTGCCAAATCAGGTGTTGGTCTCTCTGCCATGGGTGTCTTGCGTCCCGATTTACTCGTGAAGTGTATTGTCCCTGTTGTCATGGCTGGTATCTTGGGTATTTATGGTGTTGTCGTCTCTGTCTTGTTATCTGGTGGCCGTAAGTCACTTCATATTTACTTTAATATATATATGAACTTTCTCTTTTAGTTGCTATGAAACAAACCCTCTTTAGCGGTTTTGTTCAAATGGCTGCTGGTCTTTCTGTTGGTCTCTCTTGTTTAGCGGGTAAGCCTTGTAAGATTTCAAATAGAAAAGGACAGTTTTAAACCATGAATATATATAGCTGGTATTGCTATTGGTATTACAGGTGATGCTGGTGTTCGTGCAACAGCACAACAACCCAGAATGTTTGTTGGCATGGTAAGTGTATATAAAGGGGACGTTTCATTATTTCTAAACCATGTTGTAGATCTTAATCTTGATTTTCGCTGAAGTCTTGGGTCTTTATGGTCTTATTGTCGCCTTGATTCTCAACACAAAAGCCTCTGGTACTGAAAGCGTGTGCAACTAATTAATATACAATAAAAACATACCTTCTTTTTATACATTTAATACATTTATATTTTATTATAAACAAGTATATTTACATTAACTATATTCAGAGTGGCAAAGCCGTAATATGCAACTAGAGCAATCCTCAAACTTTTTCGCGCATCCACAACCACAAAGCATGGTCCCATCTTCAGCCAAAATAGTTTCAGGAAAGTCTGGTTTGGGAGAAGAAGGATCTGGGTTTGATGAAGAAGGCCAAGTGATGGCAGAAATAGAGAGTTTCCTGGTATGGCTTTCATTGAATCCGATGTACACATCATTTCTGCCTTCTTTCATGGCGCGTGAAGGGTGAGCGTCGCAGCCAATACAGGCACAGTTATCACCGCATCGACAAGTGACTAGACGAATAATCTCTCCTTGCTGGTTCTTGGCAGCGGGCCCTAGACAGGACATGGCCGGTCGAGCACCATTGTTTGGTAGTAGGCCTGTCAAGTCATGTGTGGATAATGAAAATGAAACAGATTCTACTGATTGACTTGGACTGCAGCAACCACCACTATTACTATTGCAACAGCTGCTTATTCTCGCTTTGTTATTATTATTATTATCACTAGTATTATTACTAGTGTTATCACTTGTGCAGCATTTACTCGTAAAAGCTGTCTGCGTGCTGCAGCATTTTTTTAATGGTTCCTGGTCGTCGTCATTTGACTGTTTCACTGGAGTGCAGCAAGTCTTTTCACTCTCCGTCGTTTCTGGCAGTTGTTCATCCACATTCTTCCACTCGTGACTTGGATACTTTTGTTTGTTACGACAATTGATGTCAACTTGTAATAAGTCTTGATTATGTAGTGAATACAATACATTAGCATCCAGTAATTCCTGTAAATCGTGTATCATGTCTTGTTTTGGAGCTAATGGCCTCAGTGTCTTGTGCCTCTTTCTACTCTTCCCATCTAAAGAGGGGGGATATGTTATAAATACTATTTCTTTTTTTAATTAAAGGTTCTACCTTGTGATTTTATGTTGGCATCGTTACTTTTTATGCTGGCTTCTATTTTGTTGATATCATTATTCTTTACTAAACATTCACATCGTCTATGAAGTTGCCGCACGATTCGAAGTTCTCTGCATTTCAAGCACTGTGTTGCTGGTCTTCCTTTCTTTTTAATCAAAATCAGTTGTCGATCGGTATGTTCACAACTTGATGCACGATGTCCCTAAAACAGAAAACAAGTTACGATCGGATTCTTTCTGTAAAGAATACAATATTACTTTTATACAAGTTTCTATTTACATATAAAAAGAAAGGATCAGTCGCATGTTTATTTTGCAGATATTGCCGTGTTAAAGAGATTCAAAGCATTACCACAAGACCATTTTTGCCCATTGATAATCATTGAGATTACAGAAAAACAAGGGAAAAAAGAGAGGTGACAAAACGGGATTTAGTGTACACCGAAAAAAAAAAAAAGGTTATAAAAATAGCGCATGGGTTAGCCAATAAAAAATACTTTCTTACAGTCGGAAACAGGAAAAGAATTGTCAATAACAATCAAAAAGGTATAATAAAGGGAAGCTTCAATCTATTCTCACTGTCGTCATTCAATGCATTTGAATCAATAATATTTAGTTCATAATGCGCCCTGTGTAATCTTGTGTCATTGAAAGATTGTTGTCCTTTCTTACTAATGTTTCTTTTGCGTAATCATTATATAAAAAGAGAGGATGTGGTACATGTGTTACCCAATCCCTTGAAATGCAGCTAGCCATTACATACTGTGCACTATCTGGGCCTATTTACCAGATGAATATCAAATGTTTCTATTTCAAAGCACTTCCATCAAGTTCAATGGTTTCTTTTATAGTCGCACCATTATCAATTCAAGAATATACTAATAAATGCTAAGTGAATCAAAGATGCTTAGTTAGATGGTGTTTCTTTATTTATAGGTAAGCGTACTGCCAAAAGAACAAAGTCAGGCAAATCAAATTGAAGTGTAACTTCAACTATGATGTATATCAATAAAGTATAAGCTATTAAATACAACGTCTATTATATTTAACTGCTGTATATAATGTACAAAGTATAATCACTATAGTAAGGTTATAGGCGAAATGCTGAACACCATTTTTCTAAATGTATAAAACTGTGCAAAATATAACTCGAACTCGCCGCTAAAATTTTCTACAGTGACTGAAATATTGGTCAGAACAAAAAGGATTATAAGAGAGGTATATGTCGACGAGTCGCCATATAGCCTTCTTATTAAGATCGATAAAAGAAGGGCTCGTTGTTATATATGAAGATGGGGTTATTACGTGAATTAATCATGAACAATTAGAATTGAACAGAAAGCGTTATATAAGAATAGCGTGTATTGTGATCATGTTCTTTGTATTGTTCATTCCTATAGTTTTAAAGTAATCACATACGAAAAATTTAAGCATTTGTAGGGTAATTATGACCCATATGCTGTATGAAAGTTTGTTGTACATAATGTCGTGTAGGCCTTGTGTTTCTAGTGCTATTTGTTACGTATATTGTGTCGTGAATGATAATTCAGGAATCATGAGTCTTCTTTCACTACCGCAGCCCTACTGCAGCCATCATACTTCTATCCGCAGTTCATTATCTTAATTAACAAACATATAAATATCTTAAATAATTTTATTCAATAAACACCAATCCTTATCTTATAAAAACAATTTACATAAGTCTTTAGTCTTTGTTGTCTAAACTCTTATTCATATTCCAAGCCCGGTTCCCTAGTTCATTTTAATTGACTTGTGACATCTTTTGTTATGCAAGTGCTGTGAAAATATTGCTAAAACATGTTGTAGTTTTTCCCTTTTTATTTTACTTTTTCTTCTTCTGTACAATCCGTCATGTCTGAGACGTTTGATTTGACTGAATTTACATTAGAAGGGTTCGAAGGTAAACTAATACGTTCTTAATTAATTCAATGACCTGACTTAATAAAACGCGGTAATAGATGAGAACATCCATTGCATTACTTTGCATTCAAAACCAGGTAGTGATCTAATCAGTAGACTGTTGCAAACTCTGTATATTAAAAATGTTATTGTTGAATATTTTTCAAGTAAGCCTATTTCTTTTTTAATATCACAAAGTATGAACGACCTCCAATACTCTTTTAGCGATTTTAACTGGTGTTTCATTATAAATGGAAAAATAAATAGAAACATGTATGAAAGTGTAACAACAGACTTCCCAGACCGCAAAAAGTCAGGCATTTTATATCTTCCCACCACCAAGGCAATAGCAACTGTCAACCCACCTATATTAATGGAAATACAAAATTTAGTCGACGCAAAATTCATATCTAGAGTAATTAGGTATTGTCTAAATATTAAAGATAAATACAAGATATGCCCAATGGTTATCGTCATAGCAGTGAATGGATTTGAAACAAAAAAATACAGAGAAAAACGTTTTATCAGGAGAATAACTATTACATAACGACATGTGAACATTGGGCTGAAACAATTAAAATCTATTCCCTTGATACCATTGCAGATGGCATATTAAAAACACCTATGAACGAGTTTATCGCGCTTACGTATTTCCTTTGTTCTTAGCAAAGATCAATTCTTGCGCTAGAAGAATGGTCAAATCCAAATCTACAAAAAATCTATTATCTCGTCAATCAATCGAGTATAATCTTACAGTAGAGCATACATTCTACTTTATATTCCTCTATCGCATCTGATAAGAATAACTTATAATAACAACTATAGTAGCTACTAGTATAACAGTAATAATATAAGCATAAATAATGTCAGTGACGACAATAATATAAATAGCAGCCATAGATTCTCTACCGAAGTAAACTCTCACTCAAACTTAAATTAATAACATTCAGCTCTTCTTGATAAAGAATCTAATTCGCAAGTCATCGACTTAATAGCCTTTTTCAATAACACTAAAGCTGAATACAACAAGAAGTCGCATTGGATGTATGTGATAAGATTGAATTACTATTAAGAAAAATATCTCAATCAACTAAGGAAAATGATAAAAGAAAGGTGGAAAAGTACGTTGAAAGTGCGATGGAATTCATTTCAAAGCGTCGAAAAACATTTGAACCAAAAGAGAATGAGGAAGCGGTTACGCCCACTGAATCAATTGAAAGCGCCGACCTTTTCTTTGTAAAAGAATTTAAAAAAGATATAAAACGAAAATGAATTGGAGGGAACGTTACAATGAGGGTAGAAAAAAAGAACTATTTGACCGTTTCCGTAATCATTTATCATTAAAAAATGCATTCAATGGGAATAGGTTGTAGTTGCATATCATCTCATTTGCCCTTCTGCTATAAACAATAAAACTTTGTTCTTTATGTTATTATATTTGTTTAGTGTCGATTTCGATAATGTCGATAATGTCGGGCTAGTACTTCGACCTCTTTTTTATTCTTACACATTTTTGCAATTATTAACAACAATAACATCAAACTACAACCAATACATCAAGTTGATGGAAAAAGCCAAAATACAGGGCTCGATGTTTATGGCTTCATTTTTCACAATTGCCTGTACAATGGTCTAAGACCGTTAATGTTGTATTTAGCACCAATATTGAATTATAGATTATTCAAAGAACCTTTCATAATTTGTACATAAAAGACCCTGTAGACAGAGTGACTCACACTAACAACATGCGCTACAATGTGGTATATATTGTTACCCTGTATTAACGATTTATATATTTCTTCACTTCTTATTCACCCAAATAAAAAAGATATACTTGGAAGTTATTGTTTACTCATAGTCCATTTCAAATCAACTATTCAATCAACTCTTCAGTTAGTTAAAGAGAAAATGATTGAACTGAATCAGAAAGGCGGTAGCTCTACTGAAGAGCATATATTAGAGTCGGATACATTCTTATCATACGTTGCTAAGATAGAAAGGTTTTTACCCTATTGCAACAGGAAGGTAAAAGAGTTATTTGACAAGAGAGAAGAAGAAAAACAAAGGAAGAGTAATTCCATTAAGAGAAATTATGACCAAACTGGATCCAGTGGATCCCAAGGGAAAAATAAAAGGCTAAAGTTTACTACCTTTAGAAATGGTGGTTCGAAAGACCATCTAGAGAAGAGGAAGCTTCAAAAAGAGATATAAGGTTAAAAAATCCATGCCGGTTTTGCAACAAAGAAGAGTATAGCAAAGAACATAGATGTGACGAATACTTACAATTCCGATCATACTTTGAAAAGAGACAAGATGGCAGGGTAAATAATAATATTGCAGTAAAACCCAAAAACCTTAACTATACCGGTACCCTACAGATTCAGAATAAAGCCTTTATCACTAATATCACTAAAATATTATAAGCAATGTTGTAGATATTTTTATTTTAATGTTGGTTGATGAGCTTACCTTTCCCCACTGCCGTCGCTTTCTTCAGCAGACAGAGACGGAGAACACGAGTTCTGCTCTTCGGAAGCATCGGCATCATTTGCTTCTACATCTTTTTAAATGTACAAGTTAACCATTTCCTTTACTTATCGAATATTGTAACTACTCTGTACACTGCTTCATGTGGTAGAAGACCTCTTTCCGTCACGAATCTAGTAATAACAAAGCATCAGTCTAGCACCTCAAGAACCAACACAAGCACGCAAAGGGACAAAAGGAGCCGCTGTTTGTTCGAGAAGATTGATAGTTCTAAGCTTTCCTCGTGAATCCGCTGCCTTGAATGGCTTACCAGCATTTCATTTAATTAAGATAATGTCTTTGGAAAGTGTTTTACCTCTTCATTCTGAAGATAACCTTTTGTAATTGCATTGAACATAACGACAAGTGTAATAACATGCTGGGAAAGATGTCCTTATTTTGAAGAGGAAGTACAACATAGGAAATACGCTTCTGCCAAAATTTGACATGCTATGATGAGGTGGCTGCCCTGTTTTGACACTAATAAAAAAAAAAAGCTGTCGTAGATTCCCTACCCAGGTAAATTCTTACTCAAACCTAATTTAATAACATTCAGCTCTTGTTTATAAAGAATCTACTTCACTAGCCATTAACTTAATTGACCATTTCAAATAATAATAAAATGACTACAACAACATTGCTTGTTATCACCCTGCTTCCTTCTGACAGTTTGTCGAGCATAGAACGCAAGCGCTTTGACCTCGCTGACGACCTACGAAGCTATCGTGAATGTGAACGTCTGTACTCTCCGTTCAACCTGACTGGTATTACATTGGTCTCTATGATGCTCTCGTCCGTGGTTCACCGCCCGTTGGATCACTCTTGGTTCAAGCCCTTTATGGATAAGCTCGAGTCGAAAAGATGCGAAAACTCTTCCCTGCTGCTTCATCGTTATGTCGTTGGTCTGTTTGCTGCAAGCGGTCACTGACACTGCAGGGTGTCTTTGGGAAGCTATCTTGGTGATATCTACACGCGTAACATCTTTAATTTTTCTTTCTCACACTTCCAAACCCCAATGAAGAAAGAAGAAACAAGAAGCTCAAGTAAAAGATGTGAGTATTAACAATGTTTTGATTATATTGCTACATACGCCATAATCAGCAACACACACCTTCTTTCAGGGAAAGGACTCGATATTGGACGGCTTTCCATCAAGCAAAAGGCGATTAAAGTATATAGTGGAAGCGCATGCCAAAGCTGGATAGTACTTCTAAAAACACTTATAGGTAATTAGAAAGCACCCAGATACATATGTTTATTAAAGCACTAGTGGTTTTAATAGCGTCCTTGGCTTATCCAACAACAATACAGACATCACTAATCGACGTTCGCTTTTCACTGCGGAACATTGGGGTTACTTTAAGCTGCCCTAGGACATACAATACAGCT